AAAAAAAAAAAAAAAAAAAAGACCGATGAAGGCTGATATCATCATCCCTGTTGGCGGATAAGGAGCCCCTGGGGAAGTCAGAGCACTCGCCAAAGACGAAGGGCGGTGAACAGCAGAGCTGGAATGAGAACCCTGGTCTTCTCAAGGGCTTTCTGACTCCGGGGCTCGCCTCTCCACTTCTGAGAGAACTGACCTCCCTGTGCACAAAGAAAGGAAAACCACCTTGACTCTCATTTACGGCCTCTGCTGTGGGACAGAGAGACTGTGAGAAGCTGTGTTTGGTGTAGACACTGGGCAAAGTGCCCCCAGCTAGATGGCTGGGGCCTGCTGGACAAAACGACCTTCCCCTGCGACCTTCCTTCTTCGTAAGGAACAGGAGCTCCCAGGCACCACAGCTGGAAAGCAGGCCGGCCCGGCACTGAAGCTGAGCCCGAGCCGCTAAAATGCAATCGCTACCAACCCCTCAGGCAGAGGTCAGCAAAGGGCAAAGACAGGCTCTTGGGACTAATTCTCACAAGTGACTGCTGTCCAGTGGCACCCTCTAGAAGTATTGGCCGCGGCTGGCTTTGAGAGCCGGGGGAGGGCCGGGGACCAGGGAAGGCACAAGCCTTTCCCCCCTCCACCACTCAGCCTGGGTTAATGCTCACAACCTGATCTGGGAACTCCCGAAATTTTGAAAGAAGGAGTCTTGGGTATGAAATACGAAGTTTGCCGCTCTAATCTCTGATAATCCAAATGCATTACTTAGGGATAATCTTAGTTTTATGTGAATTATACATCTATGTCTGCCAACAATCTTGAGAAGTGGGTGTTACCGTCGAGCTGACCTCGCGCACGAAAAAGCAACGGGACCTCGGAAAGGTGACGGGACTCATCCCACATCTTCCAGGGTTAAAAGGCAGAGCCAGGAGCTGACCCCAAAGCCCTCGTCAGTGCTGTCCCCAGGAGGACGAGTGGGCTGCCCTGTGCAGGCACGAAGGCTGCGCACTGCCCAAGGACCCCTCGCCTGGGGACGTTCCACTCCCATGCTAGATGCTGAAGATCTGTCCTGTGCCGATGAAGACAGTTACCAACAGATGCAAGGGAAGGGTCTTGAGAAAGTGGTGTTTCCAAGTGCTCAGCGGGCGGGTCAGATGGCCTTGGGATGCCAGAGATGACCAGGACAGTCGGGACAAGGGTGGGAAAGGGTACGTGAACAAGTGCCAATGTCTGGCCCCCTCCCTGGACCAGAGGCTCTAGCAGGGGTCCTCTCTTCCCTCGCAATAAAGACCCCTGGGTCCCAAAGTCATGCTGGAGAACCAGAGACTGACACGCAGAAAAGGTGGCCTCCTTTGTGGAGAAACTTCTCAAGGCCAGTGGTGAACTCAGATTTGCAGGGCCTGCCATTTCGCTTCCTCTGCGTGTGTGTGTGTGTATGTGTGTGTGTTTAGGCTGAAGGAGAAAAACCATCTACCGTTTTAGCTGGAAGTAGGCTGGTGTGGTTAAGAGTGTAGACTCTGACACCTGGTGTGTATGCAAACCCAGGCTCTGCCCAACTGGATGTGTGACCTTAGGCAAGTCACTTAACCTCTCTGTGCCCCTCTCTGCATCTGTAGAATGGGGATAATGGTTCCTACCTCGCAGACCAAATGTGAGGACATAACGGGCTACTAACATAAGGCCTGACACGTGTGGAACGCCATGTGATTCTCGGCTTATTCGAGGCCCGAAGTGCTACACTAATGGGAGGCAAGCCTGACTGACTTTTCTCTCACTGACCTTTGACCAGCAGGGTGAGAAGCGTGCTGCGGCCGCCACTAGCCCAGCGGCCCCGGGTGTGACCAGACCGCGGCTGCTCATCACTGTGCTCGCAGGTAGGAACCTGACTCAGGACGGCGTCGCCGTAATCTCTGTGACATGTTAGAAGCGGTCAGCTTCAGACCGTCTGTAGCAACCGCGTGGGAGCTCCGAAGACCCGTACGGACCAGCCCCGGTGAGCTCAGGCAGGCGGGAAGCTTGCCCAACTCCTGACCCTCGGCACGTCACCTAAAAGGGTGAGCTCGGTCCCTAGACTCTGCAGCCGGGAGAGAAAGCGGTCGGCTCCTCCCCAGAGCCTGCCTCACTCCGCGTGCACCGTCCCCGGCCCTTCTCCAGGGACACGGGAGCTGCGAGTCTCATCCCTGCGCTGAGCTCAGGGGCGTCGGGGAGGCGGCGGGCCCAGAACTGCAGTGCGTCACAGGAGACAGGCTGTCCGCCCGCCAGGACTGGGTAGGAC